CATTAAAAAACCAATTGCAACTCTCACAGCTGACAGCTGAAGAGGTGGTAGGTTAGCACAGGGGAGCTGTGTTGACCTGTATGGAGGTCCTATCACCAGGTAGCTGTCGCAAATCCTGATTTAGGATCCTGCCAAATATACCGATTTGTCACAAACGGGCGATTTAGACCGCTTAAAGAACCACTGCGAAAGGTATCAGCAAAAGTGGTTTAATCAAAATACGATGTTGTAAAAGTGCAACTTTAACAAAGTTCGATGGCAAGGTTCACTCTGACTTACTGCACAAGGGATATAACAATGAATCAAAGTTACCACAACACAAATCAAAGTTACCATAATACAAAGTTATGCACAATGGTGGTCGCTTACCAAAGATCTGCTGTTGGTGAAAGGTCTCTCAGCCTCGAGGAGCACCCTTGAGGGGCGTCCCAGCTCTGGAGGAGATCGCTGCCATGCAGCCAGCTGCTTAGCAGGGAGAGCTCAAAGGCGGCTCGCTCAGGCTGTCTTATTTATGCAACAAATTACATGAGATGGGAAAGGTATGCAGGAGACTCCTTGTATCTTCGCGTGATCTGTTTCAAACCAGGTTGCATTGAGAGATCTCTCTCCTCTTACGCCATTTCTGCTGTACCTTTTTTGGGGCCAGCTCAGATTTTAAGAATCCAAGGAGTTTCTCTCCCCTGTAAGAATGCTACCTAGAATGAATGTTTAATTCCTCGTTGTAGTAAACTGACTGCAGGTAAGTGCCCGTATTGTCTTAAGCAGTGCTTTTCTTAGTGCTGGCTACTTCATAATTAGCTATTACTGCAGAGTAGAATTGTTCCTTGCTAGATGACTTAATTGTTTACACACAGAGTGACTTCACTTCCTTTGGCTGTTGGCTTAAGGCAGTATATAGCAGGGCCTGTTATCAGAGCCTATTACACAGAAATAGCTTAGGATCCAATCATCACAAATGCTTCCCCAGCACACGGTGTGGCCTCTTTGTTTGGTCGATAAATACTGCTGTGGACTTTGACAGCAGAAACAGTGCGTGGCCAGCTGGGCTCTGGGGCCATTTTTCCTGCTGTTCCTACTGAATACTGGGAGAAAAATAATTCAGAAGTCAGAAAAGATGCCTGTGGAAAACCAGTCACTCAAGCTCTGTCTGACACAAAGGAACAGAAAAACCTGAAGCGATTTTTGTCTCTTTTTCCAATCAAGTGCAGAATCTGTGCCTAGTATGGAACAGTAAATATTTATGTAGATAGAGAGAGGTAGTACCAAATGTCACTTGTATAAAGTAGAGTAGGAAAAAGCCATGCAGCTGGTGGTCAGACAGTATTTAAATGAAGAGGATGCTGCAAGAAGGCAGCATGATTTTTACTGTTTCTCCATCTTGTTTCAAGGTGCCTTCAACTTCACCAAAATGTCCTAGTAATTTAAGTATTGTTTCCAAGATCAGCTTGTTAATAGATGTTGAATTTGTTTTGATGCCTTTATAAATTATTGTAATATTACTGAAAAACATGTATTCTAGGTGGTTTTTTTAACCTTTCTTTCCAGTGTATCAGCTAATGCCCCCAAAATAGGTCACCTCAACAACAGACACTTCTCCAAAAAACTGACCTCGTGAGGCAGGAAATAGTGTCATGGTCTTCTGCTTCCCCCAGGAAAGGGGCTGGACTATCCTGAAATATGCTGTGACTGGGGAAAAAAAAACCTGAACAAAAATAAATCCCCCACGCCCTTCCCCTCGGTTGTGCCCCTGCTCCTGACTGCAAGGCTGGCCACAGCCCACTAGTGCCTGTGCGCTAGACTGAAAATCTAACCCAGGGAATAAATAAAGCTTTATTTAACGAGGCTTAACTCCCCGATTTGGTGTGCTGCACAGCTCAGCAACTGAGAGGCAAGGCTGGGGCTGCCGCTGTTGCTCCCAGAGGAACTGCATGTCCAGGCTGGGGGCTGGGTTAGCTTTTGTTGCGATTTCTACTACTGCAGTGCAGGCAGCACAAAACATCCCTGACTGGAATGGCAGCGTCTGATGGTCTGGGAGAAAGACATCATCGCCACTAACTATATGCTGCACAACTGTAATGAAGTTAGCCTCTCTCCTCCTTAACGCAGTGCCTATTGCATACTGTCAGGAGCTGAAGGACCTGCTGGAGGTTCCCCAAGATGCCTCGCACCTTCTCTCCACACTAAGCTGGCTGGCACTTGCATAATGAGACTTGTGCAAGGGCTCATCTCTGGCTGTGAAGTTCACCCTCTCAGCGATGCTCGGCACCTGGCCCATTCTGCACTCAGTAATGCTCCAGCACTGATGCCACCAGCCCACGAACTGGCCTCTGTCCTGAGAATTCTTAGAGTCACTGTTCAGTACCCCCAGGGAACACAACCATGAAACCTGCAGTAGTTACCTGATGCAAGTAGAGATTATTTCCAAAGCCCCACCTTTGGACTTCTCTAATACATTAAAGGCAAACATTTCATCTCTATTTCATTAAAATAAAACTATTTCAAACTATTTCCCTTAAATTCACAGCTGCTTCTGGCAGCGTAAGCCTGCTAACATCAGTGAAGGACTTGGGTCCATCTGTAAAAACATCCCAAAAACACAAGAGGAAGATGCAGCACTGCTTTATCAATACAAGATTCTCCCTCCCCACCATCACTAAGCCCAGCGCAGAGGGACGCCGACCGGCTGTGATCACCGTTAATTATGCCTATTTACAGGTTGAGCAGCTTCTGTCACTGCCACAAACAGAGCAAGCGAATAGGGGAGCGGATGCAGAATAGCTCTAGCCACCCATGGAGAGGCACCACATACACCTTAGTATGCAAAAAATGGAAGAAATACTACTGACTGGGGGCCAAACCCTAGACTTACCTTAGCGCAAAACTCTGGCCAGCATTTTCCCCTGATTCAAGACATGCAAAAACCAGCTCAGACTGGTCTGGGGGACACTGCCTGGCCCTTCCTTTGGTGCCAGGTGCCCTAGCAATTTCAGAGTGCATGTCCTGGAAAAAAAAATACCAGATTTCATGATTACAGAAGCCAGGCTCTTTACGGACGCACAGGCAAGGATGCTTGGCCCTTCTCCCACTTGACACTCCCCTGTCACGCAAGTGAGCCTGTGCTCTGGACAGGGAGGGTGGGCCCATTTGTCACTGCACTGCAGACACGTGTGTTTCCAAGGGGCACGTACCAAGCCTTCTTGACTCTTAACCAGTTTTCTTTTGATTTCTCCTCTGCGCACACCACAACCGGATAAAAGCAGGTTCATGCCAGGTTCCTGAAAGCGATCGGGCAATCCCAGCCGAAAGCCACCACCCTGACCCCAGGAGAAGCGTGCCAGGAGGTTTCCAGCCAGCTCCACCTGCTCAGCGCCAGGAGCAGGGATTCCTGCAGCTCGCCTCTCAGCAAGGCACCGCTGCCCTCGTCTGATGCCCAAACAGGCGATCGATGAGAGACGCTGGATTCCTAAACCGTCGTGTTCTACTGAACTCTGACATGGCTGCAGAGGGAGGAATACTCAAGCCTGGTTCAGTGCACACACGTTTCCCATGATCTCAAAGCGCATTTAAAAAGCGACATTAAAACAAAAAAACCCAAACAAAACCCCCACTCTTCTTCTCCCCACAGGTTTTGCAGTTAACGACTCATGAAATGCACCGTCATAGCATATAAACTGTTATCATAGTGCTATACTGGCTCAAGTCTCTAAGGTTGCAAGCTTCACATGACACTCAGACTTGCAAGATTACAATACAAAAAAAATATGTAATATTTCAGAACCATGTTATTTTAGGGCAAAGACTTAAGACAGTTTTAAATAACAAGTCAAAATAGTGGAAGACACTTAAAAATGAGACAGTTGTTGACTCACACAAACAGAAGTGCAGTATCCTAAGCACTAGACATACCAAAAACCCTCAAAATTATTTCCCCTGTTCTGCCCACCCAGAAACATCTCTGTTGCCACCCTCCCCAACCAATACTAAGTCCAAACAAACTTTGGAATTTGACTGAATTTATTTTGAGATCTAGGGGGAAGGAATGCATTGCACAGGAGTGTTGGTGACAACCAAATAGAAGTAAGCCAAACCCATGAGGGCAAACTGCTAGACGGGACTTCATGTTCTCTACTATGCTAGATTATTCAGCAAAACTCTTAGTCAAAAAAGAAAAAAAAAAAAAGGAAAAAAAAAAGAGTTAAGTCAAAACTAATTAAAGAGAAACTCATGCTCTTACTATGGGTCTTCCATTGATTTCCCACTTATAGGTGTAATATACGATAGGACTATTTTTGCAATGGATAAAAAAAAAAAGCTAGGTTTGAAGTCTTTGCATACCCTGTGTAAACACAAGTGACAGCTTCTCAGAGCCGTCAGACTGAAGCAGGACCTTGTGACCCACCAGTAAAAGCAGTTCCTCCTCACATGCTGCCCTGGCTGGCCACAGAGAAATCAGAAGATATTTTTGTAACTATAAGGAAATTTATTTGGGGATGAGACTTTTCACTACTAGAAGCCAGACTCTAAGCTGGCTCTCAGGCTCTAATCACACTTTTCTTTGGACAATAAATTTCAAGTAGCACTTACTGTCCTATTTTTCAAAAAGGAATGATGATGACAAAAAATAAAACAAAAACTATTACCTAAATGCGTTAGTTTCAGCTGAAGCCATCTTCCATCAGAAACCATAGGATCCGATACAACAAAGTTCTCCCTAGGGATGTTTATGAGTAGAGTAGCTCAGTGCTTTGTATACTAGTACTGCTGTATTTTGTCTCGTATCAAAAAAAAAAAAAAAAGAAAGAGTTTAACTGCATGTGCAGCCTCAGCCCTCAAACCACTGCAACATGCTTCACTGCTCACCCAGAGTCAGCCTCTCTTCCCTTGGGAAAAAAATAATAATAATAATAAAAAAAAAAATCAAATGCCCAAACCAAACATAACCAATGCCACACTGGTTCAAAAGGAGAAAGTTCCTCCCGAGGGCTGACGACGGGCCTGGGTCACTCCTTAGCATCCTGCTCCTCTCCCTCCTGGGCACCATCTTCACTGGCCTCCTTCTCCTCTTTGCTACGCTTGTTCTTTTTGTGCTTGTGACGCCGATGACTCTCCCCCTCCTCGCTCTCATGTTGCTTGCTGCGGTGGGAAAGAAAGGGGAGAAGAAAGTTCCATCAGAGCCCACATCAGCACAGCTCTGCCATAGCAGAGACCCAAGCGCACCGACTCTGCGGCATGCGTGGGGACAGAGCCCTTTGATCTAGGATCCACAGGAGGCAGATCACAAGTGCTGAGGGCATCTCGGTGCCACGGAAAGGCTTCGTCGTGTTTATTTGGGACAATCTGATATCAGACGTGGCTGAACCAAGGGCAGGTTATGCAAACCGCTGGAGGTGGTTGCTTTACACCACGCGCTGCAGCAGCACACGGCACAGGCAGGCAGCCTGCTAGACAGACTGCTGTCAGAATAATTTTTGGAGTTTTTATAAGCAACATCTCTGTGTCCTTCCCACTCCTAAAGGAGGTCTAACAGTTTTGTCACACCTCAAGCTTCAAAGTGAAGCACTGAGGCTGCTGAGAGGGAAGAGTCTTAAATCTGAAAGGTGTCTGAAACTTTCACTCCTCCGAACATCTCGGCAAAATCCCTGGACTAGAGGCAAGAAAGGGATCCATGCAGCTAGAGAAACGTGGGTTTCCTAATGGGAGGCAGATCCTGTTTCTACTTCTGCATAAACGACCTGGCCCTTCACCAGCTTTGTGCTTTCAAACTCCTTTATCTCCTCATCCAGAGCTGTTTTCCAGATGCAGCTGGATAGCTGTGGATGTTTATACAGGATTTCTCTGATGTGGGAGAAATCCCAGCCCGAAGTATCTCCGACCAGGTTGTGCATGCCTCCTGCCCCACGCTGACCACAGCCAGCTGCGCTGCGTACGCACCGCGTGCCTGACAACCCACACACCCCGACATCAACCTCTGTCTCCCAGCAGGGAAAGTGCGAAGGTGGGAGCTCTGGTTTTGCCCACGCTGGTTCTTGGCCCCTCCTGGGGAGGAGATTTTCTGCTGCTTCTAAAACATGCAATTATTTCTTCTCACAGGTTGAAAACTAAGTGAGCTCTCTAGAGCGGACCGTGGTGTAAAGGTAGCAGAATTAAAACACAGCACGGAGTACAGGAAAAAGTAGATAAATTTATCATAGGAAGACGTACAGCCACAGCTCCAGGAGTGGGGACAGAGTGAGGTGTAGAGACAAATTCTTACCACAGCTGGAATACCAGTTTAGCAGCAAAGACACCTCACTGGCTGAACCACTGAAGCCCTGGCTGAAAAGCCCCTGGCTTCAACTAATTTTCTGACTTGTTTAATAAATGGTTTCACAGTCATTAAGGGGGGGGAGGGTAGAGAGGAAAGAAATGAGGGAAAAAAAAAAAAAGGCTGCTGCCTCTCCTGAACACATCTTCAGCCACCTTGTGGACAGCAACATATCAGTGGTTTATGCTTGAACAATGCGACTGTCCTTTAATATTTAAACAAGCGTCAGTGATTTCCTTCAGACTGGTCAATCTGCAGTAAACTGGAAACTACAAGGAAACCCCTTCATTTTCCTGCAAATGCCTTAAAGAGGCTCAAATCTCACTGTGCCTCAAGCAGGGACTCTGATAGGCACTCCAAGCGGCCTTAAACAAGAAGTATTCCTCCATTTACTTTACCTAACAACCACTTCCCACCCTACCAATTCCAGCAAGACAGAGGACATCTATGCGTGGTCTAAAGAGCAGAGGAAAAGTCACCTCATTCCCACCTCACGCAGTAGCCCAGTTCTGTAAACCGAGCTCTCAAGCGGGCTCTAACACTGCTTTGAATTCCTTCCTCTTCATGCAGTCAGGTACCTAAGACTGGATTTCAATTCTGCATAGAGGAAGCTGAGAAATAACCCTTAAAGCTATTGGTTTGTTAGTCTGGTATCAGCTCAGCTTCCATTTGTTTTGTATTCAATTTTGATTATGGTCCTGGCCTTTCTTCCCATCACTTTGTTTCCAATCCTTCAGTAATCAGTCCTTTCCCGAAAACATTCATCTCCTTAAGGAGGAGAAGAGCCTTTTACCTCCAGCCACTATGGAGGAATTTTTCTGATATCAATTTCAACATAAGGGTAATTACCTACAGAGCTGACATGAATTTCATCTAAAAGAAGGAAGTAAGTTGAAGGACCAAAAAAAAAAATAAAAAAAAATAGAGCAAGTTTGTTCAAGTCATTACTAGGACGTAAGCTGACAGCACCTGAGCATGGCCTCGGACCAGACCTGTTGTTTCGCTAAAATGCTCTCACAGGAAGATCATCTGTAGCAAATACATTTTCTCCAGAAAAGCTGGGATTTTAGGACATCCTGCTCTGCTCCAAAAGTGTTTCACCTTTGTCCAGACTATCGCCAGCCTCGCTATCAGAAGCACTGGGCACAGAGCTCTGATTGTGCAGTGCTCAGCCTCCTGCTCCAAGAGGAGATTTCAGATTACAGGTCAAAGAAAGCTCTTCTCTTCTGCACAAGAACACACAATGTGAAAACCGATGCTTCTGTTACAGTTTCGCATTTTACTTTGCGTGTACTTTCTTAACAGCAGGAGCTATGCTGTTCTGATGTGATGCTTAACACAAGTTAACCTCTCCTTTGTCAACCACTGCTGCAATTTTGTCGGCAGCAATTTGACATCCTGCCAGCTGCCTTACTGAAACAAGCACCAAGGACTCCTCTCCCCATTGCAGACAGTCCTGCCTCCTGCCCAGGTACATGCCCAAGAGCACTTTCTCTGCCGGGCATCGTGTGTCAGGACATCAGCAGGTCCCAAGAAGCCACTATGACCCAGGGCAATCATTCACTCCGAGAACATCAAGCTTCTTGTCTGCAGCTAAGGTGTGTTCCCATCAACAGCCCAGTTCTACCCTCGGCAGCTCTTACCGTCTTGAAGACTTATGCTTGCTGCTCTCCTCTTTGTCTCTGTGCCTGCGTTCTCGGTGACGATCCTCTCGCTCCCTGCTGCGATCTCGACTCCGGCGGTAGTCACGCTCAAAGTCGTAGCTGCGCTCTCGGCTGTAGTAGCGGTATCGTTCATCATCACTTAAGAAGAGAAAGGAGAAGTGAGGCAGAGGAACACACCACTCACGGACCTGGAAGCCAGGAGCCACGTTTACAGGACTGTACAACCCCATCCTCGCCAACAAAACCTGTCACCTCTTACTCTGTCAACGGGCTGAGGTATTTGTGATGCTCCTGAACAAAACCTGTAACGATAAGCTGCTGCTCCTTATTGAACCCAAGCTGCAACCCCATCCCAGTTTCTACCCACTGTGAAAAACTTTCTCCATTTGCCTATTCCATAGCTCAGAAGCCCAAACAGTTGAATATCAGTGGCTTTCTCCCGGCCTCTTAAGTTTTACAGAATGTGTTCTCTGGATTTGCCAAGGGATCACCTTAGCAGCAGGCATGTGGCCAACGTCTCAGGGCTTTTGCCCTCATGGTCCTTCCAGAATATATCCAAGACATCCAGCTACCTTGTTCAGAAACAACAGAAACATGCTCCTCTTACCATTCTGCCTCCCCTGGTGCTGGACTTTACCTCACAACACTACTGTCCCAGAAAACCTGTGATTCTTTTGAGTAAATTAGACTAAGGGGCTATTTTCCTCCCCATGAGTTCAAAAGCTCAAACTGTGAGTATCGCTGACATGGTCTTTCCGCCAACATCTAACCATCTGCCCAAGGCACCTCATGCAATCCACATACAGGAGCGGGGACGATGTACCCCAAATTCAGATACATCCCACACTCCCCTTCCCTCCACATCTCCTGGTCCCTATTCAATTTCTGAAAGCCAAAATCTAAAGGGTTAACCAATCCCACTGTGGGAAACAATATTCAGACTCAGAGAAAGGAAGTCTGAAGCGTCGTCCTAACACTCATGGAAACAAGCTAGACAAACAAATGTCCAATATCAATCATCTGGGAGTGCTCCAAAGGACTCCACTGAGCACGGCTACTTGCCCTGCTTTGGCAAGCGTGACCTTAGAGGTCAGCACGCTCGAAAGCACCCAGAAATGCTAACAATGTGCTCAGGAGTGCTGATCACAGGACTTGGCGGCAGTATGAACCTGCTCAGGAAGTGTGGGCGTCTGAGATCTTCAAACTCTACAAGTTTGTCTTCTGTTCTGTTCCTCCTCCTTCCACCCACAGTGCCCACAAGCTTGTAAGGAAAAAGAAAAAAAAAAAAATTTTTTTAAATTAAAAAAAAAGGTTAGGAAAACGTTGTCCTATTTGCTCAGCTCCTGGGCCAGGAAGTTCCCCGAATGCGCATTCTGACCATGTTTTGAATGACTATTGGTACTTCTGAGCCTGAAGCCTGCAAAACATTGACGCTGCCTATGACGGAATGAAAAAGTGATGGGTTTAGAAAGAGTCTTTGCAGCCTAGCCTTCACTTTAGGTCTCTAGATCAACACTGGGAGGCTGAGAGCTTCCTTTCCCGAGTGCTCCCAGCACTGCTGTCGCCCGAGATCCCGTCAGTTCCCACCAAGGTGGGTGTCTCCAGCACTGCTCGCAGAAACGCCTGGTTCAGGATTTACATTTCAGGGTGAATGGCACTCCTTGCCCTGAAAGCCTCCGCAGGAAAGCAAAGCATGGGTGGTTTTTCCTTTGATCCGACAGTTACATTTAGAAGACAAGAAGCAGCAGCTTCTATGGCCGACGTTTCACACTGAGCTGTGAAATACCCAGTAAACAGAGAGGGGCTATTTCATTCACTGGCCTCACATTACAGATGGGAGAGCAAGTGTAACTGGTTCTGCTGGATTTAAACAAAAAAAAACAGGCACAGGAAATCAGCCAGTGACATCGGCTCCTAGTTTGTCCTCTAGTTATTGATCCCAAGTATCTCTTCCCCAGACATTTCACAAAACTAAACTGGTGTAAATCTATAATCCCATTCCTTCACCAAACACCTTCTTGCGCTCCAGGGCAAGGCCAGAGCTCCCTCCTGCGTAGCCGTGAGCAGAAGCTGCCGAAAAAGAGCACTCACTTGTTGTATTCACTAGTGGTCGGAGTGCGGTCTCTGTCTCTCTCCCTTTCCCTTTCCCGCTCGCGCTCCCGCTCCCTCTCCCGCCTCGAGCCCGAGTACTCCCAATGGCTGCTGCTGGAGCTGCTTGTGCCTTTGTCCACCGTCGTCACCCAGGGCGTGTGGGACGTGGAGATGGGCGGGTAGCTGATGAAACCTGAATCTGCAGCGAGAGAGCAGAATCCCTGTTCATCTGAAGCATTAAGAGCATCCTCCCTGTCCCTCCCTTTCCACGGGTACCCTCTGGAGGCACAGCTGAATCCAAGGAGACAACAAGGGCCCAGCTCCCTCCTCTCCCTTTTTACTTTCAGCAGTTCGTTACAAACACATGAACACCTTTTCCCTGAGGAGGACGCAGCAAGACCAAATATTTGCACACCTTGCTGCAAAATCTCCCCAGCCCCTTACACAGCACATTACTGCACGGGCTGTGCGCTGCCCCAGCTCTTGCTCCCTACAGGTCCCGCTGTATAGGACATGCTAGAAGGTCTCCATCGAGAAACGTTTCAATCCACTCCTCCCAGACATCCTGGCTTAGAGGGCAGAGGTGCCTGCAGTGCTGAGGCACCCCTCTCCTGCTGCTCAGCCAGCCGGGGTTAGTTAGGCCTAGGCCCTTCACTACCCCTACAAGGTCTCACTTCTCACCAGGCACCTTCTCGCCTAAGGTGGCACCTGGGGAGGGCCGGGGACACCAGCTATTAACCAAGGATGCCACTGGACCAGCCCAGAGCCACCAGCACTTCCCCATCCAGATGCTGGCCCACTGGGGCCTGCTCAGCCGGACCAGCAGAGCAGCACCGGCTGCTGAAAACCTGCAGGTACGACAGCGCTTGAGGCGCCTGTTTCTCAGGAAGGCCTCACGCTGCCCGCTCCTCCAACCTCCTCCTGCGGAGGAGACGGCACGGTGCTGCCTGCCATTCTGTCTGCTCAGCACAGCGAGGAGGTGCTGCTCCAAGCGCTGGTCGCTAAGGAAATGGGGAGAAGATGGGCATTGCTGGCAGGGCTGCGAGAGGGAAGGAAAGTTGATCAAATTCTGGCACTGCCTCTTCCATTACAAAACAAAAGGAGACAGATGCCTGTCTGTGCCTGTAGGCAAGGAAGGTGATAAAGTGGGGGAGGAGGGCATTCAAAAGCTCAGGGAGGAGATGTGAGCTGATGGTTGTGCTTCTCCCTGAGGGCAGGGGGAAAAGGAAGAGTGTGAGGGAGTGCAAGCAAGTATGCCTGCAAACAAGCAGGAGAGCCTGTTGCTGCGGTGCATGGGGAAGCTTCTCTGTTGCTGGGTATCTGCACTGAAAACAGGGATCTGAGGCTTAGCACTCAGCTACAAAATTGCACTCACCATTGCTGCAAAACACTCAGCTTTCCAAGCACCTCGTGGTGTAGCCAAACTCAGCACGTACGTCTAGTGACTGGGGTAGCTTGGGGCACAGGCAAGACCCCAAAGTTAAAGCAAGCATGATGTCCATCAGCTTAAGAAAAGTCTAAACTACCAAACGCCAGAGAAGAGCGAGATAAGCAGTTTTGTTTGTTATCTTCAGTTCTCACCTGCGGAGTTGTAGCCAAATGGAGGAGGCTGCCTGTTATTGTAGCTGGCTGGCTGGCTTTGGAGAGAGAGAAAAGGATGCAAGTTACTACCACCAGTAACCCCTTGCAGTGTGTCCGTGCTGCAAGTTTACCCCGTTTTTTTTTCTGAAGGGCTGTGGAACATCCTCATGGGAAACCCACGGTTTCAGTGAATCTCCTTCACTTTGCATTGCAAATTATCGGAAACGCATACAGGTGCAGTTGCTTTGCCACAGCTTCTGACACTGCTGTCACTCAATTGCTTAATTCACTCAATAGCCCTCCCTTCTGTCAGCCAGGCAGGCTTCCTGGGAAATAACCAGTGCTTACAAAGCACCTGGAGAATCTTTATAGAAAACATCTGGAGTAACGCAAGGTGCTATCAACTACCCTGCACTAGACTGAAGCGCACGTCTAGATTTTATCGACTCCTTCCTGTGTCATGAATACGATAAATCAAGGCAAATGCACCAAGGATTCCCTACAGACTCTGCTCTCGCCTCCCACCCCAATCCAAGACCAGACTAAGAATTCCTAGCACCGATTTTAGACTTCTCCCTCCCTCCCTCCCTCCGGAGGAGCTGTACCGAGGGCTCAGCCCAGGTGTGGTCTTACCCATCCAAGGTTGGAATAAGGAGAGCTGGTGGTGGTGCCAGAGGAGGCGGGAACAACCCTAGACACAGAAGCGTAAGTCATCACAAAGATCTCACAGCTTGCCATGAGGGAACAAGGCTTCATTGCTGGTTACAGTTAAAAGCAGTTAAAGTGCCTTTTCACTCTAAACAAAGCCCTGTTTGAAACGGAGTAATTTTCCTTCAGGGTTGTATCTCCTACCAAAATTAAAACCCTAGAGCTGTGTTAGTTCTGTAGGGCTATGGAAAGGAAAATAAAGGAAGAACTACCTTCTATTTCGGCTTATTCATCATAAACATAAAATCCATTAAGGAGTAAACATTAACCCTTACAGTCCCATGGCAGACAGAAAAGTCTGGTTCTTGGGATGTAGACATGTTGCAACTACAGCACAGCTTATTGCTCCACTGATTAAAATGAGTAACTTCGTCTCTTACATGTAACATAGAATTCACCTGGTTTTGTTTGTTTTTAAAGAAAGCAAATTTTCTGAGCACATATACATTTAAAAACCACGAGAAGACACAGCACCAACGATGCAGAGAGCTGTCTGAAAGGTCTGCCACTTTAAAAACGGACCAAGGCCAAACACGTGAAGAGTTATCATACAAAATCACAAGGCAGTATCTTCAAGAAAGTCGAATTAAGCAGAAGCTTATGAAGGCCACTTCCAGAAGTGACATAAGCCTTGGAAGCCAAAATCCTCAACCTTGACCAATCTGAAAGTGAGAAGGATGTGCCGGCTGCTTCTAAGGGAACTTCTTAAACTTGTACCCATAACTATAAGCAACCATTATTTCTATAAGCAGCTACCAATGCCAACAAGAACAGACTAACCACCCCTTGGCTTGACTTCGCATAAAAACTCCTGTCTATTATGAAACCAAAAAAAGGAGCGAGCTGTACTGACACACAAAGGACAGGAGTCATTTACACTGAAGCGAGCAGCTCCAGGGTCCTCTCCAAGTCCATGGAGACTGAGCCAGCATAGTCAATTAAACCATGGGGCAATTCATCACCTCCGACTGTGAACACCTAAAATGGGTCAGGAGAACCCCTCTCTAGAAGCCTTTCCCTGCAAAAAGAGGTAGCCTGAAGTCTCCAGCTCAGGCAGTGGAGATCTATGCTGCAAACAAGCTGGGGGACACACTTAGAGGCTTTTTTTTTCCCCCCCTCCTTTTCCTAAAGTCTTCCAATAAAATGCAATGCCCAGAGCATTTCGATCACACCTGCTCACCAAGCGCAAGTACTTCAAAGTAACTACTGTTATAAGCACCTAACTCAAATGGTGGTGGATCATCATCATTACCATAATTAGCAGGTATTCTCCCTCATCTCCCTCTCCAACCCAGTTACCTGAAGTGGAAGCTCTTTGCCACAGCCTGGTCATTTCGTCCACCTCGCTCCTCCCAAACAACTTTAATCTAAATGCACTTGACTAACAACTGGGAGCTGCAATGTCTACAGTCAAGATCAGTTTGCATCCAGTTCTCTACAATACAGTTCTTCTAAATCCCAGCTTACGATGGGCAGGTTCCTACTAGTGCAACAATGAAATCCAGCACTGCAATGCTACTGTACATTGAGAGGAGTATGAAAAGTGACATTTTAACTAACAGAGGAATTTTCTCAGTCTGAGGGACAGCCCAGCTAGCGTCGGTTTCCATATTTCCATTGGGGAATCCCAGGGCAGAGCACGAATACAAAAGCTCGGACACAAGTGCTGTGAATCAAGTCCAGCATGGCTGACACACACTGAGGACAAGCACATCAAGTCCAATGGGCTTTAGGCGCAGACCTTTGCAAAGCAGACAAATCAAATATACAGTATAACACAGAGGCAGCGGCCTGACGGTATGTACGCAGTCACCATCAGCCTTGGATTCTCAGATACGCAACATCTGCTCAGAACTATTGCTCCAAACGGTCTGCTATACAAACAGCTAAATTTGTTTCCCCTGGACTAGGCAAAGTTTCCAGGAGGAAAAAAAAAAAAGTTACAGCTCAAGAAAAACTCGGTTTTATAGTAGTTCTGAATTCGTGGAGTTCTTAACTTATGCACAAGATTGGTCATTACATTTCTTTATTAGTGTTCATTGCCTCTACCACACACCGGGAGTAAAGGCTTCTGATAGAAATGGCATTTGTTCTGCTCAGTCTCATACTCCAAATTCCTATACAAAGCACCAATTTGTCACTCAGACTTTTGCTGTGCAAATGCCATAACAAGAATTAAACCTTTTCAAATCTAATTAAGTGGCTTTTGCCATCTGAAGTTCTCCATTTCACTTTCTAGATTGGTCTTCAGAGACAGAACAAGACAGTTATTAAGAAGCCCTACAGATTATTATTTAGGTCCAGATATAAGATAAGCAGCTAGAGTTCAATGCTGAGTTAGAGTTTATTAGCCTTACGTTAACTGTGCTCTCAAATGGGTCTTGGTGTCATCCTATCTCGTGTTAGTTCATCCAAACGCTCAGACAGGGCCATCTGCCTGTTCAGAATCACTGCTGTTATTAAGTTAACACCTACCTGGAATAGGACCGGGTGGTGGCAGACCTATGGAAATAAACAAGCAAGCAAAACAAGTGAGGACAACAGGTAAAGCACCTCATCTCTGTACCTCAAGCTAAACCTAAAAGCACACTTTTGAATAAATTTCACATATTTGAGCAAACAGACCAGCAGAAAAAAATGGTGCTATTAAGCAGCAACTGGCCTACAAACAATATCATTTTCCCAAATGATGATCTCTTTACCTTTATGTTATAATTTTAAATGTTGCTGCTGTCTTGCACTGGAGAATTCCTTTTTCCAAGTGTCATCACACAAACAATTGATCTGGCCTTCAGAACAACCGAAGAAGCTGGAGAGGAGAACCTGCTACAGACGCCAGTGCGTCCTTTTGCTTGTTTGTTGTTGGCTGTTTTGGTTTTGTTTTTAAAAAAAACTTTCAACAAAACGTCAAACACAACCGCATAGTGAAATCAGACATTCTGGTCAACAACCAAAAGAAAGAGTGAACAATTTATCTTGATTCTGCCAATCATTTTAATGAAAAGCAGTAGGAAAAGCTGCCGTGGTCCAGCAGTGAGCACTGCAGTAATAATCTTCCTCAGATTAAAAGCCTTGACTGTATTTTTTATTCTGTATCATCTTCTACATGTGGAGCCAGTGCAAAATATAGGAGTTACTGCACGATGTGCTCCTGGCGACTTCTCAGAAGCCTGGCTGCTGCCTACAGGACCAGGGAAAGTCCAGAGCACAGCCTTCGCTTCAACCTCCGTGGACTATGAAAGCCAGAAGCAACAGGGGCACCGATGTGACTCGCGTTGGATCAGAGGATGTGCAGACTTAGCAGGAAGCAAGGACAGAAAGATGTGTCTTAGGCTGTGGCCAGTATGTCTGTGAACTTGCAATGAAAAGGGTCAACACAAAAATGACCCTACGCCCCCTGGAAGACTACACAATTTGGCCTTTTTAGTTGCCAAGTTCTTTGCTCTCTCCACCAGTGCTGCCCTGCTTTGCCTGATGCCCAGAAGGAGTACTACTGGCCTCCATGTTGCAGATGCATTAAGAAACTTTGTGGAAACTGAGAAGAGACAGCGAAACGTTCTGCAACATGGTGCTCAAGACAACAAAGTAGAAAAAAAAATTAGAAATTTTACCTCTGTTATCTCAACAGGATTCAGGACTCAGTAACTGCAGGGGCAAAGGGCCTTCCGGCAGACACAGGACTTCTCTCCACAGCCTCTTCTCAAGGGCCACGTGCTCTTAGCACAACACAAATCCATCTGGCTACTGATAAGAGCACACAAACTTGCCAATGCTGAGGGCTGACCACACCCAAGGGGCTAGAAACCCATTGTAAAGACCTCATTTATATTATTTATATGTCGCTTTTAAAATGAAGCGCTGCTTTAACACCTGCACTGGACACTAGACTCTTCTAGGAGCAGTAAGAATTACCCTGCAGTGGTGGCAGGTACAATAAAATGCACAGAAACAAACACAGAAAGATGCAAATCTTGGTACTGCAAGGCATAAACCAAGAACTGACCTGGATTAGGAGGAAAGTTGTTTGTTAGAGCTGCTCCTGCAGAATTGCCAATTCCAGCATCACCCTTGAAACATCTGGAATTGGTCATAACCAGACAGGATCCTGAACTAAACCACCTGCTGCTCTGACACAGGACAGCATTTCCCGTCTTCTTACCTTCTTCCGCAGATACACAGGAACCCCTTTCTTTACGTTTACCAATAAAGCAAATGGATCGGTAGCACCCAAAGGCTCTCTCACAGAAACAAAGCCTAGAGGTTTTTTTCAAGGAGGTGCTACTATTTTTTAAGTATTCAAGGGCAAATGTTAAATAGGCTGACGGAGACACTGAACAAAGACTGGCCAGGTCTGAGGACCTCGACTGTCCCACGCCATTTCACGATTACACCCTTGATTTCCTCCAAGCCTGGGACATCCTAACTTGCGGCCTCAGACTGCCATATATCGCTGTGTGAACACGTACCTGGAGGATGCAGGGGAGGTGGAACAGAAGTAACTGGTGGAGGAGGGTGGAGGAAGTGTGGTGGAGGTGGCCCAGCGAGCGGGGGAGGCGGTGGGCCTGCTGGTGGTGCAAACGGCTGTTGCTGAGGTGGCTGTTGAGGCTGTGATGGCTGCTGGGGCTGCTGGGGGGGTTGTGGTTTACTTCCGTGGTCTCCAAGGACCTTAGAAGGCAGAGGAACGAGAGGAGAGCATTTTAATCTCTTTGCTCCTGCAGCCAGGACCTCACTGTGCTGGCATGAAGAAAGCATATCACCGAAAGAGGCAGCACGGTGATACCTGGAAAGAGCAGGCTATGCTATACCCAGGGGATAACATCTTTTGGGGAGGAAGGAAGGCTGATCAAAGCAATCAACAAGCTTAGCGAGATATCTTAACGCAGAACAGCAGCGAGACTAGATTCTAGCTGCATGCAAGACCGTGCAAGATGGTTGGTATTTCAGCGTTATGAACACCTTTTGCTCATGGGAACTGCCAGGCTTCAGATTAAAAGCTGCCACATTTGAGGGTGACACAGTGTGCTTTTTTTTTTTAACCCAAATTTATCTTTCCTGAGGGCAGCAAGAGGCCAAATTCTGCTCTAGATTGTGCCCACATAGGTCAGAGGAAGACTGGATTCACATCTGTCTGACAAAAGCAGGTCATATACCCACTAATGCTAAAAGAATGCTCAATACGCAGAGATACCAGAACGACCTGGAAATACAGGTATTGATGCGTGGAAGTGGGAGCAACAACAACCACTTCCCAGCAAATTCCTTCTCTTAGGCAAACTCTTTTTAGGGCCATTGTTGGCAAAATTTGGAAAACTGACCACTACAAAAAATAAACAGACCACAAAAACACATGTAAAAACAAAACCAGGAATTGCATCTAGACAGGGGAAAGGTTCCGTATTGGTGGGTTTTTTGGTGAGTCAGGAGCGGTTGGTAGGAGGAAGGTGGTTAAGAGAAGAGTTCTCAGTAGATGGTCTTCAAACCCTACACATAGCACCTTCCTACACAGAAGCCAACCAGAACGTTATGGTCACACTCTGGACATGCAAGATCAGAACTGAGTCCAGTTTTAAACCCCAGGCTTTTATTTCTTATGATCCAGTAACACAAGCCCACCCTAAGTCTGAAGTGTGGGCCGCATCTAATGATGCTTAGACTAAATGTTACTTCAGAGTAAAAAGAAACACAAGCCCCAGGTAGAAGTCCTCCACTGCAGAACTGGAGAGTCCAACCTGACAGTGGAAGGGAATAATCCACTCAAGAGCCTCCCAGCTATGCGCCCCGGGGAATACTTTGGGAGAGCTGATGGGAAAAGGAACTTGGGCCTTACCGTTTAGATGGGAAGGCTAGTCTTTAAGGGACAATCTTTAGCTCCTAGCAAGATAAAGCTTTTAACACAGAAATAAATTCAACCTGCAGAAGGGAACAATACATGCATACGTCTCGATAGGGCTGATACACTACCTACTGCTTTGCAGATAGAAGCTGTGAGATGGGAGGTCAGGAATGCGCGGACATTTGCTCAGGGTTCACTACAAGTGCAATAAAATCAGAAATTTGTCGAGATGGCACAAAACGTTTACCTGAATTGGGTTTTCCTCAGAGGCATGCTTATCACGACGTCTTCCTTCTACTCTCCTAATGGTGCCTGCCTGGCCACCGATCACATCAATTGTCCCACCTAGCTTCCTAGTACAAAGCAGATGCATTTTTTTAGGCTCAAAGACATTAGAAAGAGCAGTTTTCCCCACTATTAAATGGACTTCTCTCATGCAATCTTTTCCACCAGGGAAATATCTCTAAAGGCAGCGCTCAAACTGGACAAGAGGTGAATGAGAAGTCCTTTTTCACTTTTGAGCAATCTGAGCTCTGCCGGCAGGGGTGAGCTAGGTCTCTCTGAACTCCCAGAAACATGACCCAAAGAATCACCCCATACGGGTGTAACAACATGGATCGCACACTCTGGTTCAGAGTTGAAATCTTTTACTCGCTCTCCGGATTTGAATAATCATTCCCAGATCAGGCTCAGAGAAAGTGAAGAATATTTATCAGAAGAAGCCTTTAATGTTATCAGCCCAGATTTTTACTCCTTTCTGTCCAATACTCCAAGTGTCGCTGATACATATCACTGAAGTTACTTACAAATTGGATTCTCAGACACTTTCTATCCCACCTCCCTGGGGTCCACTATGTCTGAAGGTTAAGCATCCCTCATCCTATATTCATGCAACAACTGGTTTGTCTACGTATGGCCTTAGATACGTTTTCCTGCAGTTAGGGCAGCAAAATGTCAGCACTTTTTCAAGTTAGCAGAATTTTCTATCTCAGTAGGAAATTCAGACAAAGTGGATATAAAAATGCTGGCTTGTTGGTGAGATAAAGTTATCTTTAAGAACAAAAAAAAAAAAAATCAAAACCCAAACAAGTTATTGCTAAGCCCATGGTTTCGATGCTGCTGAGGGGTACAAAGATACTCGTCTGGTCCTGACCGGAAGCTCTGCTGCAGGAACAGGACCTTGTACTTTCAAAACCAGACTGCAAGTTAAAATGGACAAAAATACTGTACAGTTACAATAGCATCAGCTTATTTTGCAGTGGTGTAAGTTTTCAAAAGTCTCATGAGACACGCATAACAGCTGGAAACAAACCTGACTGATCTGATGGCACAATGAAGGGGGACAGAAATGCCACCAAAGTGCTTAAATGCAAGCGGACTAAGTAGAGCTTTAAAGCTTAGACTTGAGGCATGCAGCTGGTTCTCTTCTCAGACAAAGTGGAAAGTTGGAATGCAAGGCTGATTTCTGCCAGACAGGTGTGCAAAAGATGTCATCTCAACAAAGGGATAGAAACAGCCAGACCCCAAAGCTCTGGCTCTTCAGGTTTCACATAGCTCTGTTTTTCTGAAGTTTTTGATAAGAAAAACCGTCAACTTCACAAGGTCAAAGTGGTTTTCCCAGCAGAGGCTGCCAATCAACGTGACTCAATTGTTTTGTTTTGTCCAGCCTTGTGGATCCCCTCTCTTGTTGGAGAAAATAACAAATTAGAAGGCATCAAGCAGCGTAGCATACAGCTCCAGAAACCAATAGCTCCTCTTATCAACTGCCAAACACGTAATCCACTTCCACTTAAGGAGGCACAGATTAACATCGTGGGAGTACGAACAAGCCAAGTAAGCACAAGCAGCCAGCAATGTAAGCCCTCAAAGCTGAGCTATTGGCCTGGTTTCTTCCACTCCCAGAGATGTGTCCCTTCAGTTGGGGTACAAGTTTCCCCCCCTGCGCAGCACTACACTGAGGCTATCACCAAGGAGAGCTGAATGGGTTGGGTGGGTTGCACAACCCTCAGGAGAGCGCTGCTGAAGACGACAGTTAATGAGTGACCACAGCAGCTCCCTGTAAAGTTTCAAAGCTTCTTCTGTTTCAGGCTTGAGGAGATCCAGATATGGCCCAGGTGGATCCCAGCTACCCCTGTGAAGAACATAGCGCACCCAGGTCTTGTCTACATCATCTCTTACCTATTAGGAGGAGGCCCAGCCTTCATGCGTCCTCCCACCAGAGCCAAGAAGTCTGTTTTGAATTCTGTTTTGATGATATTGTTTTCCACTTCTTTTTCAGCATTTCCTGTTCTTCCTTGCTGAACCTATGGAAGGCAATACAAACCACACAGGTTTAATGTCCTTACTTTCAACTGAACGTAGCATCAGAGACTAACCCCTCAGCAAAGGAAAAGGGCTCCCCTGAGGAACAATCACAGGGCTCTTGCCAACAAGCAACCTATTCTTCAGTCAAGGCAGCAGACACTTCTGTAAACTGGTTGGCTATTCCAGCCTCAGCCTGTGGACCGCTGTCTCCCGTTACAAGTCCAAAAGTGTAATAATGTAGCCCTTAAGTCAAAACTGGAAATAGCAATACTTGCTGTATTGACTCTTTGGCTGAAGTTGTGATTAACGGCTGTGGGCCACCTGATGGACTTCTGCAAAGGCTGATGGCCAAAGCAGTCTCCAAACACAAAAGGCAGCCACACAACTGCAACAGTCAACAGCAACAAGCAAAACAGCCATGGATGCCCAGCTCCCCTCTCTACACCTCTCACATCCGCAGGATCTCCCAACCAGACACCCCTATAGCTGGGCAGCCTCAAAGTCAACTGGAAATTCACTCATATCTTGCTACTGTAGTGGTTCAAACCTGTCAGGTAGTCGGAACTGTTCGTTCCACAGAGAAAAGATTTTTTGTAGAGAGATTTAATCTTTAGAGCTACATTTTTTGTGTTTCTCACTGAAAGGAACACAGAACAGTTAGGTACTAAGATATCTTCCGCTCTTACACTCATCTCTGTAATTACAAAAACAAGTCCGAGGTTTATTGTAGCCACATGCAGGAGCAAGATGTCACCTACCGTGATCTTATTTTCAGTGCTGATGGGAGGAGCAGGATCCAGTCCAAGCTGAAGCCGTCGCTGCTTTTCACAATAAGCTTTCCATGTTTCTTCATTGAATCCGTAATTAAAGTAATCAGAAAGATCAGCACCTGACAAAGGGAGTAGAAGTTAACCCAGGGATTCTAGCAGACTTGCATTCTCAAATTGCCCTTTAACTATTTAAATGAAGAGTTCAGAAAACAAAAATCTTCTGGAGAGCACAGCTTGCTCTTCGTTTCACTCTGTCAGAAAGCTGCTGCCTGCCACAGTGGATGGCTGCATCTTTTGGTGGGAGGGGGACCACAGCCCGAAGAGCAGTGGGACCATTTGGGACACAGAATACAGCACGTATGCAGGCTATCAAGAGAGATGCTTCCAACCACTCATTCACCAACCGGATTTTTTCAGACCGGTTTCTTGCAATTGTCCAAATGAGTCAAGGGCTGGGCAGAGCACAGGAATGACGGTTCCAGCTACCACCACAAAAATGGGATGGTGCCACAGAAGCTTTTTCTTGGCAAAGCTGAGCCAACACGTTCTGCTCCTGACCATCACTGCCTTCGCTGTTTTGAGAAGAGATTCTGGGACTCATCCATTTCATGAAAGAGGGCTAAAGTGGAAGTTTTTTATTGATACGTCTCGGACTACACAAGTCACTACACTTCAGTCGCGATCCTAACTACAGCTTTCCAAGATCGTTATCTTACTTTGACAGTCTTCTGTGAAATGTGCCAATTCAGCATGAGCTCTTCTGAACGACAGTGGTGGCCACAAAGTGCTTGCCAAGAAAACGTAGATGCAGAGGGACAAACATAGCTGCAACTGACTCTGCAAGGGACTCCTAACAACAGGGAGCACAACAACGCGTCTCCGAGCCCTGCGGCAGTGTCCCTCAAACATCCCCCTTGCAAAGGCATTCCTAGATAGACTAATTCTAAAACAAGGAGCTGATATGTAAGGGCTAAGCAAAACACTCTGCCTACGCTAAGCTTGGATGTATATTGCGAGGTTTAAGTTCATCTCCTAGGTAGGCCGAAATACCACCCAAATACGCAAACTGCACCAACGCAGATTCAGCAAATGTACGTGACATGTACATATCTATTTTATCAGCCTGCGTTTCAGCCCTCAATCAGTTCTTCCACACCATATTTCTTCCTCCTCTCCCTCACTTAGAGGGATACCAACCTGCAAAAAGAAACCTGAAAGGCCGCTGAGTAACAAGCTACTTGTCACCTAAAATAAAGACAGAGGCCACACCCCTCTGCAGACATCTGCCCTCTATTTGTACTGCAGTGCTGTTTTAAGGCTAGCTGGCTTCATTTTGGTCCAGGGACGTCACCACGATCACAACGGTTTCCAGGCTTTACCTCGGAACTCAACTTCATTGTTTTCCTTCTAACTGATTTTCTCCCGAGCCCCCTCTTTCGCACTGCACAATCAATGGGAAATCCCCTGCAGAAGAGAGGTCACGTTTCCCCTCACGTCTGTACTAGCTACTAGTCATCGCAGAGTGCTTCAGCGCTGGTCTGATACCGTGACACCTCAATGTAGGTATTCGCACTGTTACGTACTCCCATGCCCTTCAGTTCAGATGGATGAAAGCTACCAAAACAAGACACCCTTAGACAGACAACAGACAACCTTATAAAAGCACTATTTACTTAGCATAGCAATATTTCTGAAATATAAATAAAGTGCAGGGGCTGGTGGGGAGGAGAATTATTTCTGAGAAGAGTCAAGTGGATTTTTTGCTTCAGTTAACATTTCATCATACCTTGTTTTACGAGAGCAGCACAGCAAAAATTTGGATCTCTTTGGTTCCTTCATTTACTTTCATATTAAATTCAGATGAAAACCAGAAGTTTATTTGTAGCATCCTACAGCTGTCATGCAAGAGTCACTTTCGAGTGGAAGTCTCCCTAATACTAATCAGGAAGACAAAAGGACCGTGCAGGTATTAAAACCTGCCGTGCAAAGTACCACTTGTCTGGACACACTCTAGATAGTACTGTCCAGAAGAAATACGCAGGGACTGCTCACTCATAGTTATGCACCTGGAGGCAGAATCTAGCAAAGAATTAGGAACTGCAGCTTTGCTAAAAGGAAAATCCTAGCCTTTCTTGTCAGAGTAGATAGTGTTTCCCTCTTCCCTTTATTCAATTGTCTGCAGCAGGAGAATTCAACACAAAAAGACGGCTTTCCTATCACGTGGCAATCCCCACCATCGCTGCCCTCTGCAAGGGGTACTTTCCTGCAGAAGCGTGGACATCCCCAGGACCCAAACGAGAAGGGTGAGTGGGGATGACTCTGAGCTTGGCCATGGCGAGACAGAATAAGCAAGCTGCCATGCATGAAGAGATCACTCCATATCATCAACAGCCAAATCTTCATCCTACTCAATCGACTTTAAGGCCAACAAACATTATTGCATTGACATCAGCGCAGTATTTTCTGGAACTAGGGAACTAATAAAATAGAATTATTAAAAAGAAATAGTTGTTCCCTTCAGGGAGGTTAAATTAATATAGTAAATGCAACCCAGTTTTAGGCAGAAGCATGGTTTGATCAATCGGTAAATGTCACGGATTGTCTAGACAGGCATCAGAGGCCAAGCAATATTGCGTTGTTCCAACCTCCCTGTTCCCTGGCAGCAATAAATGGACAGAAATTACATGTGAAATTAAAGAAAGAGAACTAAAACTGCAGAAAATGTTTACCACAAGAAACTGTGAGGCCCCACCTGGTTTCCTCCATGGTTTGTCTTCAAATGAATCCAAATCCACTTCTATAACAGGCAATCCATTTATATTCCCTGCGGCATCTAAGTCAATACCTTTGGGCTGCAACTTGGCTTTGGAGAGAGAGAAACCGTTACTACTTTTAATGCAATGCCTTTAATCCACTAATTTGCTGAGCAAATTACTCCAGTCAAAAATAAAGCGCTACTGTGAATTCATTGCTGGCTTTACAGCACGTAGGTAACCACAATTAACTTTTTATTAAAAATTACTTCAGTCACTCTATAACTAAATAGCCAGGGTATACAGCACTTGCAATTGAACAGCAGAGAAGCAAATTCAACCCAGATTAGTACTACAGACAAACGCAGTAAATGATTAGAGCATGCATGAAATTTACCCCAAATGAAAAAAATCTATTTTTCTCCCCATGCAAAATATTTATTTTTCCCCTCCCAAGATACACACATTTTCTCATAACAAGAAACTTTTCCAGGACCAGTCTTCAGTGGACCATGTACTACCTGGAGTCAGCAAAAATCTGTTGGGTACAGAATCTTCACGGGGAATTTGTTCTTATTTTCTCAATCAGAAGATAAGTCATTTGCATAAAGAAATTAATGGAAGGAAGTATATGAAGCCCATGAAAGGACAGTCTCATGTGTGAGGACAGAATCCAGGTCTCAATATACAGTACAAACTAAACTGAACGGCAGGGACAATTTCACGTGCAGAAATACGCATAGCTGATACTCAAGGCCAGCGTTTGTTTCTTTTAGTATCTTACACTGCAGGTAGCTCAGTAAACTGACCACAAAGTTAAAGCTCTTCTCCAGGCAACTTTGAATGTTTGGCCTCAGTGCAACAAATACAGTTTGGAAATATTCTGAGTTTTTTTACTATAAAAGTAATAACCAATGTATTTTTTTCTAGCTTAAATAGAATTATAATCAGTTTATTCAGTGACGGGCAATTAAATCATTCCATTGTACCCTGGTCTGTCCTAGGAGCGCTTACCCTTAGGAAACACACTTACTATTCCTTGTTTAAATATGATGCACTAATTTTATATCCTTCCAAACAGAGACCAAGATCTGCAGCTGCTCCAGCTGTCAGTGCCAGATAAATGAAATATTGCAAAAGGTGAAGGATAAAAATAACAGCAATACCTGAAGCAGACGCTCCATAGCCTCTACCCGTTTTTAAGTTTAGATTCATAGGAGTTCCCCTACATGGAAAAGAATCACTACATTGGTATTTGAACAAATTACTTGGCTGAAGATTTTCATGCAAAAATATATTCAAGCCCTGGCATCTTCAGAAGATGCTTACTTCACTTGGGTATATTCGTGCCTCTCTATGATTTTTAGGACCAAGTCTCAACACCTTAGAAGCGAGATTCATTTGCCACAGAAGTTTCTCTAACCCTACTGAAACCCAGCAAACACACTCACTGACCAACAGAACACGAGAGGATCGTCTTGAATACAAAGGGAAAGGTTATTTCAAAGAGAGGTCGTTACCATTCCGCCCAGGAACGTACTCGGTATTTAAACGGCTCTGAACAACACGGAAATCACAGCTGCACACAGATCACAGAATGAGGAGAGAAAGGCAGAAGCAGCAGATTTTGAAAAGGATGTCTGCAAAATCGAGTGAGCTGCCAACGGATGGAGCACTGCTATTCAGCGTAATCCATCAGACTGAAACCACCTCTACAACAAGAGACGGAAATTATCCATAAAGTGGAAAAATTAGAATATGCTGCAAAGCACGCGTAAGTCATTTCCTTAAGAGGAAAGGCTGCTAGCAGCAAGCAAAAATGCTTATTATTTTTATTCAATGTAAATTAGGTAGAATTTTAAGCCAGTGACATAATTTCCTGGTTCGCAAATCCAGCCTCACCATTTCTGAACCATGAAAAATCAAAGACAGTTGAAAATTAGTAAGTTCACAGCTTATGCAAATTCTTATCAATAGATTTTGGTTCTTGAAGCTTTCACAGATGATGAATTAAATGTAACTTCCCACCTTTGATTTTGCCCGATGAAGCGCAGTAATTATTTGGTTAATTTTCCAACAGCAGACCTGTGAATTACCATTCCTATTTTACAGATGGATTCTCCAAACAGCAATTGCAGGACAGAGCTGCCCATCAGCTTCTAATCCCACTCCGGTGTTCTAGCTGTTACTCCCACATCTCCCAGAAGACAGATCAGCTCTCAGCCCCACTTGCAATCCCAATCAATGTGCTAGAGTTACCTCGGATCAAAAATCGACACCATAAGCAGCAATACATACATGTACGACGGTGCTCCTGTTTTAATGTTGCCGATAGTAACTTTCACGTCATCATCATCACTGTCGCTATCGCTGTCATCTTCATCATCTTCACCGCTTGGAAGGGCCTAGCAACAATAAAAGCACACAGGAGCTCATTAATACATAAAACCGGTAAATTCCCCAGGACAGTAAGCCAAGTCTTACAAAGCTTGTATGATGAAGGACTATTAGAAAGAATGATTCTGATACGAAAACATAACTTTCTACCGCTCTCCAAGGCTATACAAAGTTGTCTCTGGAAGCAAAAGCCATGGAAGTAGCCAGCCTTCAACATAAACACACAGGTGCCCACAAAGAAACTGCTATGTCCTTTGAAGGAGTGACCCTACGTGAGAATCAGGGTAAGGTTTCTGAAGGTGAGGAAGGTTTAGCTTGGTTCTAAGAATTTCATCACATCCCACAGTTCTTCTCCTCTACCCTTTCTGAAAGAGCTAGGGCTTTTCGGATCCATCTCCTTCACAGGTCCATGGTGAAAGAACACAACCACAAACAAAATCACCAAAATATATTGACCAGGCTTCACCTAAGAACCTTGGAGCAAATATTCTCTCACCACAACTTTTGTGGTAGGAAGCTGCTGAGGAGCTCGGCTTGGCTTATTTAATACAATCAGTTCCCAAGTCACTTAACTTTACAGCTGCTGATCCGACTCCAGTGCAGCACCACTGCTGGGGCACAAAAGCAAAGGAAGGCTTCCAGACTTCCAGCAGTGCAGTTTTGCAAGATGCACGAGCTGAATTAACACCTCACAACTACAAAAGGGTATGAAGAAGGTGTTCCAAACCCTCCCTCCTTTTCCATGGCACATGGATTTGTCAGAACTCTGCGTGAGCCCTCTTGACATACCACAGTGGCAGAAAATAAACCCATCGAAAAGACTAGAGGAAGAGCAGGTGGAGAAGCAAGCCTCCTCCTACTCTTTTCAGCACTGAGCCACTAGATTGTATTCTAAGAGGTCTGAGTCTGAATCAAAACTGATTTCCAGCACTTTGGGCTTTCTTTCTCAGCATTTCCCATATTTTACTGACCCTCGAGAAGTCACACGAAGTACTGAGCTGGAGGTAACATCATGTGCTGCTTTTCCTGCCAGAATGCAGCATCAGAGGCCCCCATTTTTCTCTTCAGCGGGCAGAAGCAATCCTTAGGTTAGGGTCACTACTCACCACACAAGGCAGGCTGAGAAGAGGAGCCTGCTGCTGTAGTTAGCATTGGGCACGGGCTATCAGTACACTCCCACAGTATAAATGTAATGTATTGGGCAGTACCAGCATCTTTACACTTACAGCTTTTTATCCGTGAGTATCGAGAAGCACAAAACCAACTAGATCTACCATTTGCAGTGGAACACATACATGTTGCGACATCTCTCGGTCTTCACTGCCAACGGGCCGGTTCTCCTGAGGAGCATCTTGCAAAGGATGAGAAGATTCTGCATGTCTAGTAAATGTGAAAGAGAAAAGAAAGTGGACAAGCCCAATCTAGAGGTTCACCTATAAACATTTCTAACGCCTTCATCCAAGTAACTTTCATATAATGGCTTTATTCATGTAGTGTGTTTATTCTGCTGGCAATTAGCTCAACTATACGACAAAAAATTAATCATCCTTGCTTGGCTTTGCTTTTGTTGGAAAGAATCAGTTTCCAAAGAGCGCCTGGCAGCATGGCTGCTCAGCCAAACACCACTCAACAGCTAATATCTAAGTGGCAGCTGTAATAGCTGAAAGCTTTGGTCCGGCACAATCACAGCTGATAGGAATAAGGGCACAATAAGCAAAACTTCACCCTGTCCTTAGAGGATGCTAATGATTATACGTACATTTAGTAAGCAGCAAGCACATCTGTCCCGTAGAAATTAAGGGAAAAACAATTTTAGTGTTTCTACAAACAGCTTACATTAATGAGCAGTTAAAATTCAAAGAAGAAAAGGCAGATAAATATCCACCCAGTCTTCTAATTCATTACAGATTAGTCCTAATGCCACAACGATCAGGTTCAGATTTACATCCAATTAAAGAGTTTGTACAAATGTTAACATTGTTCATTGCGTTAGCCAAGCAAGAAAGTCAAATTGGTATACACATGCTAGAAAAGAGTATGCTAAGTGTTACAAAACCAAAATACAAAGAGAGATCATTTTTCTTTAATATCATCGGTAAAACCTAATACAACTTCAAAATAATTCTGGCTTTTCAAAAGAGACAATTAGAATAGACCAGGAAACCCAATTCTCCACCAGTACTTTGAGGAGACATTGCTATTAATTTAAAACCCCATGGCAGATAATATATGTACACAAGATTATCTTCAAAAAGAAACATACGTAACAACAGAATCCAAACACCGGTCAGATTAAAGCCATTTCAGAGGCGACAGGAAAGGAGACACCAAACAAGTAAGCCAAAAGATCACACTAACACAACTCAGAGAGCAGTTACTGAGCATAAAAAAAGAACAAACAAGAACAATTTGAGCAGTTCTGAAGCTCCCGTATATTAGAAAAGCCCCACATATAAAGAAACTCAACAATCAAGCCAAGATCAAAA